TCTGTGGGCGCCTCAGCACTGCTAAAAGAGGAGGGGGGAGCGGGGGCGGTTTGCAATGCTGAAAACGCCCGGTTCGTGCTAAAAATCGGAGGCGCTGAGGGGCCCGGAGGTGGTATCAGTTTTTCCCATTAATGCAGCCCTTGTTCTGCGCCGCGGCCGGGCTGGAGCCGCGTTTTGCGCCGGTGAAGCCGGTCCTGTTTGTGGTCTCAGCCCCAGGGCAGCCTTAATTCAAAACAATATGAAAGAGATTTCTGTGTGCCCGGCTTGGTATGGGGAGCACAGGGACGACTGTCACCCTTTTGTGTGTGTGTTTGCTTGTTCTTACTTATTTGAAACATCTCTGTCGGTGTGTTAGACTCCCAGCCGTGCACTTGAATCTACACTTATTAAAACAAAATAGGAGCCTGTTCTCTTCCTGCTGCTTGCAGTTGTCTTCTGCTGGTTTTTATTCATTCCCCGTATGCCAGGGAACAGTGTGTATTGTAGTTTCAGTATGAGACTGTTCCAGGTTTACATGACCACAAATGTCCCTAAAAGACTAAATATGTAGTCTGCTAATAGCATAAGATAAAACCACTTATATGAACATTTCAAAAGGAAAAAAGAACAGGCTGTATTTCTCTGGCACTTGTAGTTATTGTTTGGTATTCTTTTACAGCTAGAGGATAAAAGCCTCAGGGGGAAAAAAAGCGTCAATATATTCTTGAGAAAGAACCTTAGTTTATTAAGTAAAATCGATTTTAATTGCTTTACATGAATCTATGACGCTTGCCCTTTTGGTGCTCTCAAGGAATCCTTCTGGATCATCTCAGACCAAATTGTTAAAGTATTACAGATAAAGAGGCCCTTTAAAGGTTGAGGTTCAGATAATAAGGTGTCCTAGGGAAGTTACTTGTTGCATTATGCAACATCTATGTTTTGTACTATGTGTAAATAGATTTGGGAGACAATATCAGATATGGTAACTTTTCCATGTGAGTTTATACTTTAAGAACTTAAATAGTTGAAGAAACAGTTACTGCTCTAATAAGGACAATATATAACATCTCTGAGACTGCAAGGAGTTACTAGAGGGCAGGAGTAGCCTTCTAAAGCAAGACTAAATATTTAAGGGAAATCAATAGGTAATAATGGCTTAGCTTTGAAAAGGTATAAGTAAGTGCAGCATTGCTGATCTGGCAAGGTGTGTCAGTTGATGACTTGGTTCAGCGGGGTTTCTCTCTCTCTCTCTCACTCTTTTATTTTTGTTATTTTTTTTTTGTAAACACATAGGTCTATATAGGTCAAAAAGTGGTCGCTAGTGCCACTATAGGTCACTATAGTGGCACTGCAGGTCAAAAGTGGCTGGAAACCTGTATGACCTTAGCAGAAAAGATTCTCTCTCATTGTAGAACTAGAGTGTATTCTCAATCTGACCCTCTGGTTTTCCTCTTCAGTTGGCAGCAGAAGGCTTTGAAATTGTAGAGTAAGGTTCTCCAGGCCTGAGGGAATATTTTGTGGTGTTTGGAAAGTGTGGCTAGGTTCGAAGGTATTCCAGCTGTGTGGAAATACAGCTATGCTACTGTCTGGTATAATCCTTTTTTATTGTGTGCAGAGGCTTTTACTAGAATCTGTTCAACTAGAAATATATTTACCCACTTGGAGTTGACCATGCTCAAATACGTCTTCCTCATTCTGGTTTTGCCCTCACTGGGTTGTTTACTTTGACTGTTTTGCGCTGCTAGGTCTTGAGTTTGGACTGTGAAGTAAGTGGCAGGGAGAGGGGGAGAAACCACGGTGACTTTACTGGTAGTTAGGTAGCTATTTCGTTGTCTGTCAGTCCATATGTATCTAGGTTGGAGGATTAGTCCAAAGTCCCTGAAATTAATGAATTTATTGTGGGATGTTGATTAATCATGATTCCTGAGTCACTTCTCTGAGGTCACTTTTATTTTCAGCAAAATTGACTAAAGCTGATTATTCTGTAATTGAAAAAACCTTTGTTCCCCTTGTAGCAAGGGAAACCCTGCTCAAAAAACAATGTTTCGTTCACAGAGAGGAGGATTTGGAAAACCACTTGGCTTTGTTGTTAATAGCTAAAAATAGGCAGCTTCCAGCCTTAAAGGGAATGTATTCCTGTGCTGCGTTTGAGAAGGCTTTGTATATGCTGTTGAGGGGTGTGTGTGTGTGTGTATATATGTGTGTGTGTGTGTGTGTATGGTGCATGTATGTTACACTGTAATAGACAGTGTCCTTCATGCTGTAACCAGGTATGTGAAAATGTGGCATCAAAGAGCTAAACTACTTTTTCTGTCTGTAAGGCTGTTTTGAAGCCTCTAGGCTTTTAGAGCTTGAACAACAAACATCTTGTCTGTTAGAAAGAGGAAGGAAGCCAATTGTCTGCTGCTGCTAGTCTTTTAAAATTGAGGAGTTATTTTGATAATCCTTTGAGGTTAATCCCTGTAGTACATCTACAGTAGTCATCTTCGTGAAACAAAAGTACATTGTTTATAAAAGTCAATCTCAGTGTGATAATTCAAAAGGGCAGATAAGAGTATTCGTGACCTCACACTGGTGGTAGATCAATGAATTTCTCTTGTGAGAATGAGTTTTCCCTTGGTATATGTGTTGGAACGTCACTTTAGCAACAGTGAAACGTTGTGCTATTGCCTCTGAAGTTCTGTTGCCAACAATTGTTTGCTCTTCAAGACCTTAACTGCATGAAATCAAGAGAATGTATTGCCTTCCTCTCATTCCAGGATTTCAAAGTACACTGGCAAGCACAGAAGGGGTTTTCAAGTGCAGTCCTTCTCTCAAAAACTGTTTGAAAAGAATGGGCAGTGCAGAAAGTCCAAGCTGAAACTATGTGAATGCATGCCCAGATTTCTTGGATTCCTAATCTTGTCCTAAAACCACACTGTGTAAGTGGTCATGTTCTTGTTTGCCAAACATGAAATTTAGTTACAAAGTTAGGAATTAGGCTTGGTGACAACTGTCGAATTTTCCTCTTCAGTTAAGCATTAAATGAGTAACTGGCCCGTATCTAACGGGCACAAGTTGCTGTGCTGTATGGCTCTTTCCCCTAATGTAAACATTTAGGAATCGCAACTTACCTTTTAATTTTTATTTTGTAACTTTTAAAACTAGTACTTATGAAGTACTCAGAAGACCTAAGTTTAGAAAATCTAATTACTTTGGAATATGTGTTAACATCTATTACCAAACATGTGCTGTTAGAGGGTTTATTACCATTCACCAGTACTTGATGAAAAACACTTAAACCTTCTTCTGCAAGAAATCTTTATTCTCCTTTGCACCTGTTAGCTCCTGTTTCAAGGGTTAATTTTTCACTCCAAATGCGCATACTATGGCTGCATATTTTATTCCTAATTTACAAGTATGTAATGTAAGTGAAAGAGAGAATGTGAGAATGATGAAGGCTCAAGGAAGAGCAGAGAAGCCTAAAACTGCCATGTGGATTGTGCTATATATAAAGCAATTAAAATGGTGCAGTTTAAAACTTTTTTTTATTTATAGCTACTTAAGGGACCTTTTCATGAAAGCGCTGATAGACTACTTGCTGTAGTGCTTGCCAAAGCAAGCTCATAATTATAGCAGCATTTGATGGACTTTGTGGGTAGCTGGGATTAGTGTCATTCAGACTGAAACTCGGGAGGCATCTGATCTGGAATTGTTCTTTTGGGAGCAGATGCTTTTAGGTGAACAGCAGCAGAGCGTCTCAGAAACATTTTGCACAAATCATTCTTGCTGGATAGCTACTGTAAACTATTATTTTGGAATACATGATAAAGCGATAAAAACTGCTATGTTTTAACTTTATCCAGCATTTTTCTTCCTTTTAGAAGCGGGATGAAACAAAACTGCAGTTCACGAAAGCAGTAGGATCTAAATTCCCTGAAGCAGTTGCTGCTGCCTGTGCTTTTCTTGGAAGTGCTTATTTAATCAATCCTTGAGTAAAACTCTTCGTGCTTCTTTTAACGAGATCCATTCTTTAATCATCTTAAATTTTGAAGTGCCGCACAAGCTATGAATTTTGTCTTCATTAACCTGTGTGTGACTGTGCCTTCATGTCCTTGCCACGTACGCAGTTTGGTTTCAGAGTGGTCTACTCAGTATTAAGCGATCCTCCTGTATTAAAATCTGTCTATAAGCAGCTCAGTATCGTTGCCCTGTTTGCCCTATTCATAATTCATAGGGAAAGCTTAGCAGCTTAAAAAACAGTGTATGTACTCTGTAAGATCATCCTGTCTCGTGTGTCTCATGGTTCTGACTAGTACTTTTCATCTCTTTTCAGAGTAAGGTTTCCTGCCTGTTGAAGTGCTCATGACCTTAATAGTCTTGTTGGCAGTTCTGCTAAAGAGCTGTGTACTGTTTGCTTATATCTGTTGGTAACTTTTTTTCCCCACTGTAGTGCCATTAGGCAGGTGAACATCTGATGCTATCGCAGTTCCCCACTAATACAAATTTTTGTCACACAACACGTCTGACAACAGAATAACTCATATCGGATTTACTCTTTGCTTACTTGGTTGTTGCTGAGGGATTGCTATTGCCTTGGGCTCATGACAAGCTGTGAATGGATGCTGCATTATGCTGCGTTGATAATCTTAATGGACTAGTCATGCTGTACTGTATCTTTGACCCCTGGGTGATTTTGTAATTGTTTTTTTGATTGTAAATGAGTCAGCAATTTTTGAAAATTTCTTTCTTTTAGGGCCTTTTAGGCTAACTTAACAGCATTTGCTTTTCTGATTCCTTGACTTAACCTCTAAATGCAGTGGAACAATTGCGGAAAAGCTTATTCCTCTGACTTCACCTCGGTGCCAGAGATTACTCCGGTTTGTAGAATTGCGACTGCGTTCAAGGTGGATTGCTTTGGTATTATTATTTACTCTTTTGGTTACAAAAGAGAACTTACTGACTCCACAAAGTTCAAACTTTCAATGAAATGAAACATTTAAATGTCCTGAATAGATTTTCCCCAGCTTCTTTTTTTTTTTTTTTCTTTTTCTTGAAAGCCTCTCTGTCTTTAGTGTCGCTTGTGTTTGAGGGACTTGTTTTTCACTTGCCTTTTGAGTACAATTCGGTATGAATTTCTCATCTGTTCACCTGCCCATTTCTAGAAGAAGTTTGACACAGTGAATAATACTGGAAGTGAAGACTTGAAGAGTAACTTTTCATTTGATCAGTAAATGTCAATTTGTTCAATTCGGTCGAAAGATATACCCTTCTTAGAAGTGCTAGAATATGGAAGAAGTTGAGTCATTAAGTTATGTGTTCTAATTTCAAGCAGTGTAACTTAATGTGCAATTGAGAATGCTTTTATTTTCTTATTATTATTAAAACATTTTGAAGACTTTCAGCTAAGTTTAGAACAATCAGTAATTGCTAGATATCAGACACTTGGTGCAGGAAAGGATGTCATTCTGCATTAGATGCAAATAGCTTGCCTATTGTCTGCAATCGCGCCAGGTACATCTGATTTTCCAAATGCTGTTATAATATTTATTTTTTCCTTATTTCTGCAAGACAGGTACATCCTGTTAAGCTGATGTTTCTTCATCTTTGCACATGCATAATGATTTAGAAGTCAAAGTTCTTCAGAAAATCTTTGTGGAAGTTAGGCGTTTGTTTCCTCCTTCGCCTCCATAGCCCTGCTGAGGGACGCGATGGTACTTGAGTCGGGAGAGTTCAGTTTTGCGCCCAGGACTGAACACTAGGTTAAAAGTAGAGGTCCTGGCACGGTCGCGTCTCCGTGGTCGCTTCTCCAAAACATGCTTTTCTATTTGTCTGACTATGTAATACAGTTACTTAAGGTTTTTTCCTATTATGTAAATCAACTGACTGATGAATATGTGAGTCAGTTGCTAGAAGATGGGAAGATGATTAAATATGGATCTAAGCATTCCCTTATACTGAAGGAATATTTCTTATTCACTCAAGCGATGAAATACTGCCTAGAGTTTGGAAAGTCCTGTTAATCAAGCTAAAGCTGTTGAACTGTGAAGCCCAGTGCAGTGACCGAAGCTTTGTCTGGCGTCAAAGACGGAGCTTCTGTTGTTTAAGAAGTAGTTTCCCAGTCTCTTCTTACTTCAGGAAGTCTTTTCTGTTATTCTGCCTGTTTTCCCCAAGTTCTTTTGTCTCTTCCTCATTATATATGATTTGAGTTAAACATTCCTTTTCCTCTTGGGTTTTGTACTCATGAAATGTTTATAGACTTGTGTATCCTTCATTCCACTGGCTTTTTTTCCTCTCTAGAGAGAAGTTGGTAACGTGTTCTTCATCCTGAAGAAAAATCAAAGTCCACTCATAAAACTGGTCTTCCCAGGCTGACTGGGCAACTACTTTGAAATGAGAAAGTCAACTTTACAAGCACGGAAAATGTGATCACCAGATAAAATTGCAAGTTGCTTGAAGAAAGTAGTTTTCTCATTAAAATGGTGAAGGAGGAGAGGCATCAGAAACTATTATTATTTTTTGCACCCAATCTTTGGCCGGTAGTTCAGAAGATAAATAGTTCACAAAAAGTTGTGGTGATGGCAGGTAGTCTGGTTAGAAGCTGGGGTGTTAGAAACTAAGCTATTAAATAGTGTGTATTTTAGTTCCATTAATTGTTAGGAAAAATGTAGAATAAGGGGGACTACAGCTTTCTAAAAGTACAGTCTAACAGTGTTAGGTCACATAAGAACAAATAAGTGGAAGCAACCGGTTTAATTTAAATTATTTTGCATTGGATTCAAAAATGAGAAGAGAGGATTTTCTTTTTGTTCTTGGGAAGTATTCAAGTGGAACACAAGCAGAGGGTTGAAAGCTTGTTTAGGCTTGATGTGAGAATCTTGGGAAGACAAAACAATATTGCAAATACAATTTGTCCCATTTGTACAATTTGAAAGATAATTTTATTTCAATCGGTGTAGAATTTAGGACTCAGCGTTATCCCTGACTTGCTGGTTTTCTAACTGCTTTAGCCAAAGCAGGGCCAAAGAGTACAATTTTGGCCCCAGATACTGCCCCCTCAGATACCAAGAATGTGTTTGGGTAATACTGAGCCAGATTTGAAGTTTGCAGATGAAAGTATTGTGTATAAATATTTCAAAAGGCAATAACTGCTTTTGAAGGTGCTGTTGCTACACTTGGAAAATATTTTCCACCTGGTGCACCTAGTCTTGTGCTCAGGCTGCTGTGAACACCTGAGTTGTGATCGTGGCCTTTTCTGGGGCTTTCAATGACTCATGGAGGTTTCTGCCTTTCCTTTGTGTGAAGGGTGGCTCCCCTATATCTAAGCATGAATCTGAAAGGAAGAAAGCGCTGTACTGTTCGTGTGTGCAGTGAAACTGTCCTTAAGTAAGACCTGTTATATCTGAACAGTGATCATGGGCAAGGACAGGGCGTGTTAATGTAGAAGGTCACAAAAAGTATATAAAATCTTTCATTGAATTTGAAGGCAATTTAATAGAATCAATCTGTCACACCATGGAAAAATCAACCCGTGTGTTGATTCAGGCTAAAAATCTGAGATCAGCTCTCTTGCGTCTTTCTCCTGTTGATGTCTGAATCTTTCAATGACTCTAGTGACATCCAGGGCAGATTTCCTCAAGCGTTCAGCTTTTCCAAAGTTCACGAAGACTGTCTAGATAAAATTGTGTGCGTGTGTATGAGCAAACTCAGTCTTGCCTGCAACAATATGAGACTTGTCTATGTCTCTTGCCTATGAGACTTGTCATTTGTTCCTTAAGAACGATGTCTTCAGGCCAGGATATGCTGAACAGAAAGATTAAAATGAAAAGCAGGCTTTTGGCATTAATCCAGGACTGATTTAACATAATTTAGGAAGAATATTCTGGAGAAGGAACCACAGTGATACATTCCTTGATATATTTTGTTGTTGTTGTTGTTTGCGTTTTAGTAAAATAAGAGGATATTCTTTTGCAGTCTGGCATCTTGTTGTAGGAATTCAAAGATTTTTAGGAACAAGAGTTGCTGTATCTGTTAGTACTCATCATGATGTGGGGGAGGAACGGTTAGGACAGTGCATGAGGAAGGGATGAAGAAGCATCTAGGTTAAATAATGGGTAAAATTGGATGCAAAACGTGTTGAAGTAGCAGAGCGTGAATGTAAAACTGCAAGTTCACAAAGCTGTGATTTAACCAGCTGGTCAGATCTCATGTACACTAGTGACAGGGATTAGAAGAAAATCAGGTGACACAAACTGCACTCCTCTTCCACTTAGCAGAAATGTGTAAATGAGCATCCAGAGACCGCAAGGTAGCCACTACCATATTGACAAGATTGAACGTGCTGCTTGCAGATAGATCCCCATAGCAGGAGCTCTGCTTTGAAGTGGTAAAAGCTGTTCTACCTGCAGAATCGTTCACCGATTCCTCTGTCCCTTGTGAAAGGAGAAGAGGGTCTGGTGGACCCTTTCCCACAACACAAACTCTTCAAATATTTGGAATAAAAACTATTTTAATTTCTAGCTTGGGGAAGAAAAAACTAGTTAATGAGCTCTGTCTGCTGCATATGGAAAAAGTTGCACAGGACAGTGACATCAGATCAGTACTTACTCCTGTCCCAGAAGTGGTTGATTCATGAGTGTCCGTATCTGAAAGGAGAGGTCCATATTCTCAGTGCAATTGCTCCGGAAGGTTTTTTCCTGTGTTGGTTGTAGGTCTAGTACAGGAGTCCTGGCGTTTCCAGAGATCCTTTTGTTTCTTTTGTTTCTTCAGAAGTTTTGAAATTCTTGTATTGTCCGCATAATGATTAATCTTGCTTAGGCTTATCAGTGACATTTCGCACACCTTTCTTTTGCAGGCCCAAAATGTTCAGCACAGCAAGGACATGACTCTTGCCAGCAACCGCAGTCTGGCAGAAGGCAATCTTTTGTACCAGCCAAAGTTGGAGTCTTTGAAAGCAAATTTGACTCAAAAATATCAAGAGCTGCAAGTTCTTTTTGAAGCGTACCAGATAAAGAAAACAAAACTAGGTAACGTCTTCTGTTGATGATTCTTACTTGCTGTTTTCTGAGTAAATATAAATCTGTTAGACACTCGTTTGTCTTCTGTGTCTTGTTCTTAGCTATGTGAATTAGGGTACAAAATGAACTGTCATTCTCAAGTAGTTCTGAAATAGATCATGCTTCTGCTGATGCATTAAGTACGTTTTACACTTAGAGAGAATTCATGGTATGTGTTACTATTACTCATGTACGTACCTGGGGATGTGCATTACCTAGTTATTGCTGACCTCCTGTTCTCTAAGTGGTCAAACTCGTCTTATGTAACGAGCGAAATCTAGCTTGAATTGTCAATGATTACTCATAAACGTAATCTCGCATCTAACTTTTTCATTTCATACTGAGTTACGAAGTATTGTATGTCTTACACTGCACCTGCTGAAGTACTTTGGTTTTTCACTATTATAATATTTAATTATAATTATATTTCAGCTTTAGCACTGGGACAATATTGCTGAAATTCTTGAAAGATATATTTTCTCATGGTAAATGTCCCTGTCTAGAGCAATGGAGTATGCTGACTGTATGTATGTGTTTTAGAAGACTTTTTATGCTTGCTGAAGCTGTGTAGCTTCAGTTGGCAAGTCACTTATAGCCAGCTGTCGTTTACCGTTCTTCCCATGCCGTTACAGACAGCCAATCCAGTAATGCTTCCCTGGAGACACTGCTAGCGCTCCTTCAGACAGAGGGGGCTAAGATTGAGGAAGACACAGAGGTAATGACAGTACACTTCAGTTGTGCAACATTTACCCTTACCAGAGACTCTGAATGTACATAGCTGCAGTATGCTGCTGAACATGTAATAGACTGAAGGGATACTTTAAAGAATATGGTCTGGTCTTTTCTTTGAACTTCAGTCAACAGTCACTTGATTTCAGTGAGAATTTTTTCGAGTAATTTTTAGTCAGATACTCTTTGAAGTTTAAAAAATAAAAGGCTGTTTGAAAACAGAAAAGAAAGCCAAACCCTCTTAGTTCCTTTGCATTGCCTTCAAACTAATAGCATATAAATGTGGTAATCTTTTTAATGTTTGCCTGGTGTGTGTATATATATAAATCTACTACAAATGTCAATTAGTCACGTCATGAAAAAGCGTCTGCCTATGCTGGGTTGTAAGAAGAGAGGGCTGCCTTTGCCACGGTTCCAGTGGAATATTCCATGATGATTTCAACATAGCTGTCTGGATGCCTGTGGTCACCCGTCACTGTGATACAGGTGCTTGAAGGGTGGTTTGCTTTTAGACTAGTGGACATGTTTAGTTTTGTTTGCTGATTCGCTTGTAGGACGTTCTCTAACTGCATAGCTTGTTAGCATCAGGAAAAAAAAATACTTGTCAGCCCTAAGTTTGTCATCACAAAAAGATACTTTCAGGACAAGGTGGATTTCATTATTATATGTATGGTCACCTATCTTAATTCCTAAAATATCATTTACCCAAAGCTTTGCTTTGCCACAAGTAAGGGTGAGTATTACAACCTGGCTTAGCAGTAATCTGCCTCTCTGCGCCGAGGCTTGCAGGGTTCTAAATGTTTGTTGGCATTATAAGCAGTACTGAATTGTAATTCAGCTTAGCTGGTGATTGGGAAAGCTGTTCAACTTGATTCGTTCCTGTCTCTGAGCAGGGAAATGTCCAGAGGCAGATTCAGACGTTCTTACTGCTGCTCTGTCAGCAAAAAATTTAAGCAGAAAATGATATTTAACTCACAGTGCTTCTGAGAAATTACTAATTCAAAATTCTGCTTGGAATTCTGAATATGTTGTCCTCTGTATCCAAGCTGGAAAATCACAAGCAAAATCATGCTATTTTAGGATATGAGCCATTTAGATTCCCTTGGAGTGTGTTGCTTTCTAAGAGATTGTTCAATATTTGACAGAACATGGCAGAAAAGTTTCTCGATGGCGAAATACCACTGGATTCCTTCATTGATGAGTACCAGAGCAAGCGTAAACTGGCTCACCTGCGGCGTGTAAAAATTGAGAAGCTCCAAGAGATGGTGCTGAAGGGACAGAGACTTCCACAGGTTCAGCCGCAGGCTCAGCCAAGAGCACCTGAGACAACACCAGCACCTCAAGCTTCCTACACTTCGGATGCAAACACTCCTCCTTCAGTGATGCCCCGACGAATACCACCCCCTCCACCTTCGTCAGTCCCAGCAGGACGCTTTCCTACTCCTTTTACTGCAGCCATGAGTTCAGGACCAGCTGTTTCTTATCCAGGTGCTCCATACCCTCCTCTCCCACCTCGAGTAGGAGTTCAGCCTGCGAGTCAAATGCCACAGCCAGGATACCCGTCTCAGTTTGTACCACAGTATCCTCCAGCTCTTCCCCAAAGACCACCTCGCCTTCCGCCGCATCCTGGCTTTATCCTCCAGTGAATGTTTTGGTGCGCCTAACTTGTGTATTGGTGCTTATATTTCCTTTTTCTCCCCCTGTCAGAGACTTAACATGTAGGCAATGGAAGGCCTCTGTTTTTTGCACAATGGAATGCAAAATCTAAGCTGTGGCACGGAGGTTTGAAATTGCATTCAGTAAATGTGATCGTTTTTGTTTTCAGATATCAGTGACAACAGTTTTGCTTTTTTTTTTTTTTCTAGGAAGGTGATAGGGGCTAAATTTTGTAAATTCAACAAATTGTGAAACAGCGTACAGTGAATTGACTCTGCATTATAAATATCTCTTTGAATTCTTTAGTGATGGTAAAATAGAATAAAATTCTCTTGTGATGTATTCCCATCACAGCCGGCTCTGTGTGTGGCAAATTGGGAGCTCTTTGTGTCTCTAAAGAATTCTCTATCGGTGCCAGTATTTGGATGGTAACAGCCATATCTGGATACTGGGATTAGAGTTGCAGTGGGGCTCATCAGTGTCCTTTGCGGTGTGCCCCGGCAGCTGCCTTGGTGGCAAGGTGCACAACCTTTTCTGAGCTCATTGAGCAGACGCTGTTGTCAGAAGACGTTTTATGGTTTTTAAGCAGTAGAAGTTACAAGAGTTTAATTCCTGCATTTCAGTTGTTACCTTGGACTTTTCGTAGTAAAAGTACACATTCTTCCTTTTCATAAATAGCTTGATAGCCTGAAAGTCCTGGTCTCTTAAAATTAAGCTAAACTGTTTATAGTGCCAGTTTAGAATTTTATAGAAATTTTACCAGGCATTTTTATGTCCTTGCCTATTATGACTGTTTCTTATGTTTTTTTTCTTCTCCACACCTTGGATATAGAAGTGATTTTTTTTTTCTTTTTTTAAAGAAAACACAGGTGCTTAGTTTTTGATATCATATGATTCCAGGAATCTAGGCAGGGTATTTTCTTATTCAAATACAGGGTTTTCATATCGTTTAATTGCCCACTTGAAGCTCCACAATTTCATTTTATCCTTCAAATGCCATCTCTTGTTTGGAAGAACTATTTTTAACTTCCCCATTTCCTCTAGGTTTGCAGTGTTTGGCACACTTATCTATCTAGAATTTGCAATTAACATTTCTCTGCAAGCAGTCAGAACAGAGTATTTTTTTGAACTCCATGGTGGATGTTTGCATCTTAATCCAATTTTGACTTTTTATGCCACTGGAGGGGGAGATTTTTTAGGGGAGTTCAGATTTCATTATCAGTGTGACTCTTGAAGTCTAAGGTGCAGACACATGCTGGAATTGTAATCCAGCGTTGAGGGGAGGCAAACCTTAGCACTTGCTGCTTGCTCAGAGTATGTCTATAAATTCATTATCAGTTTCTCACATCCACAACCAACTTTTGCCTTTCAACTAATTGACACAGTCCACACACAATCCATAATCTGTCATACTCTCTGCGTTATTTCAAAACACTTTCTTATCACTGTCCTGGAATGCACTATGTTATTTGGAAGTCTCTACTACAAACGGCTTCAGTCAGAACAGATCTGATTTTTTTTATTATTATTATTTATTTATTTTTCTCTGCATAAAACCCTTGATTGTCCCTTAATCATTCCCTCTGGAGTGTGGTGGTTGCTAGCAAATACTAATCTGAAATTAATCTCATAACAGGAAGCTCCCTCTTCTGAAAATAGGGTTATTTGGCTTGTTTTGCCTTCTGAAGTCAAAGGGCAGAAGGTTGGTCAGCGTTACTGGCGCCTGAACCAATTCCCCACTGTAGGACTGGAAAGTTTCTATAGATGGGGGGGGTTGTGAAACAATGTGCGTTGCATTTGTTTGCAAAGCGTGTTTTTTCTGTAATCTAGTGATGGTACAGGATGTGTGTTTTTAAAATAGTGTAATATCTTTTCTTGGTATTATTTTCTCATTGAGGCTTAGTATAAGCATGGTTAATTATTAATTGTTTCAAAATTTTGCTGTGCTATTAGTGCTGGTATTTGGATGGCAACTGTTGTATCTGAATGCTAAACAAATCTGCTGTAGAAATGGTTTGTCTTGGAAATAATAAAAGTGGGTGGGCCTGCAAGGGTGGTGATGAAGTTCCTAAGTCTGTTCTTGGAGCCTGCTACACAAACTCAGACACTCTCAAATTAGTTTTGCTAACATTTAGTAAAAGCAACCAGGTATATTTTACACTTATCAAGTGCCAACTTTTTTTCTGAGGATTGGAAAAAAAAAAACAACCTCAGAAGTGATGGAGGTGATAGATAAGTGTATTGTGAATTTGCACTGCATTTTATGTATCTAACTCTATTGGTATTAGTAGTCCAAAAATATTTTTACTACTTGTTAAATTTTCTGTCTTTTGGTAACTTTTGTGATAACATGACCATTCAGGGATATTTTATCTAAAAACAAACTCTTGTGCAAACTAAATACAGACAAAGCTAATGCAATGTTTCTGTCTGAAAGCAAAACAATGCATTATTGCATATGCATGTGGCTGATGTGCCTTAGGATCACTACTTGTGATTGTACTATTAGGATATTAGCATTTTTATCATTTGAATGGCCATTGCCTAACTCTAATTTCAGGGCTCTTCAAGAGCACTTCCTTTTACAAAAATGTCACCCTTACACTTTAGAATAAACAAAGGCAGTATCTGCTATTTGTAAGCTTATAGTTGCCTTCACTGATTGATTAGTTGGAACATAGGTAGTGTAACTAATGTGATGTTTCAGTTATAGCAATCTCATAACTGAAATCCAGCTGCTCATGGGAAATGTTTTGCCATTAATTGTGTGTATGTGCGCACAAACTGATATGTAAATAGATACTTGACTGCTGGTGATGTCTAAGGGTGAAGGAGCGAGAGGACTGTGGAAAGGTGTTTAAATCCTTTCAGAAGCAAATGTTATAAGACACTAATCTGAATAAGCAGGGCAAGAGAGGTGTCAGTGTTTTAGACCCGTTGCCCCCGGCAGCTTCTCCTGTTTTGTTACAGCTAATAAGTTAAATTCTGCTATGGCTAACGTGTTTAGAATCATACTAATTTGCACTGTTTATAAGATAGTGAGATTAAAATGCCATAGGCAAGCTGAAACTTGAGAGCAGGTGGCTCAAATATGCTTGCCAAAATATATATTATTATGTTGTCTTAAGGATTTTTAATTTCTGCTGCGAATAGCACGTACTTCCCCAAAGCGATTAGAGCGGAGAAAAATCTTTAAAACACTAAGTGAACGCCGAGTTCAGACGCAGACGTGTAACATGGTGGTAGTGTTGAAAAAGCTCTCTTTGGACGACGTTACTTTTGCCAATCTTTTGTATGCAGTTTTGTAAGTTATGACTAATTAAATTGTATGTGATTGGGGTTCTTTTCTTTTTTTTTTTTTTTTGAATGATAATCAGCATTGAATAGTTCTAACTCTAAGATGAGTTTCACTTTCACTGCACTTCAGTGTTGTCTCCTCGAGGAAGCGGAGTCACTTGTCTCTAACGCAGCTGATCCACAGAGGTCACGTGTACCGGTGGCCTAGAGGGACTATTTTGAATCTAAGCTTTCAAGTGGTCCCAGGAGGCAGAGCCCAGGGCGCCGTCCCGTCATGGGTCACTGTTAACGTTTAGTGCCCCAACTTCCACAACCTCGCTCTCGACCTCTTTTGGACTCCTCCGCCCTCCCAAACTGGAATAATGACTTAAACAGAGAGCTCGGATCGGGAATTCCTCTAGCCTGACTACAGAAATACTTGTCTAGCTTTGAGTTCAGGGGAAGGGGAGTCGTCTTGGCCCCCGAGCCCTTCCGCTCTGCAAGCCTGGACAGTCTAATAGAGGGGCAACTTTACATGCCTAGCAAGTTGTGAAATGTACAGTGGATTTGTTTGCATAATAAGTCTTTCTGTAATCTACTGTGGTCTGATTTTAAATAAAATAGCATATCTCTCTTGGTGCTGTGTGCCTGTTGTGGCTTCATTTAATCGGGGCTGAGTTACATTAATGCTGTTCCATGCTAAGGGTGTTTTCAGTGTAGCAGCGGTTGTAGGTGGAACCGTAGAATATAAATTTGCAAGAAGGTACCCTGATTGTTTATAGTAATAAATCTATTGATCATGTTTCTAGTGACTGGATATAATGAGTATTTTGTGTGTAGCTGGTTCAAAATAGGTCTCCTCAGATCAGACTGCACATCTTACTGCTTTGCTCTGATTAAGTGGGCTGTTTGCCTGGTAGAATCTCTTCATTTCTTTTTTTTTAGTTTCCTCTGGTTACCTAAAATAGTGGAAGTAGCTGGAAGCTTGACCCAGAAAAGCCGAAGGAAGGGGGAAAGCCGCTTTTATGCGCTAAAAGAAGAAAAATTTAAATTTAAACCAAGTCACGTTAGGAGAAGTGAGTCAGTCAAAGTTATTTAGGAAGATGAGTCAGAAGGCAGAAACGACCTGATGTAATTTTCTGTAATATCTGTCACTGCAATAGCCGTGTGAAAGAGAAGTCCTGCTGCAGAATAAGTGATGACAGTATATAAAAACAAAAAAATTCCTTTTAACGTTTTTCTCTGGGTGGGCAGGGGCCGAGGGGAGATGAACGCTGCAGCCCTCTAGCGGAGGAGGCACGGCCCGAGCGCACCGCCCTTCAAGTGTCTCTTCTAGGCTTCCAGAGGGCCCTTCCTCGTCCTTCGCCTGTAACATTGCGGGCAGGAAAGAGGTTTCTTACACAAGTGCGAGGGAGCTAAGGACGCTGAGAGCGTGCCGTGGACCCTGCTAGAACGCGCGTGGTCCTGTAGCGTGAGCGCTCTTCGAGGGGCGCGTTGAGCAGCCTGGTAAAGCCCCTCCAGGTGGGTCTCTTCTGCCCACCAAGGCTTCCTCCCTGGAGGCGGCATATGTGCTGGGTCCCAGGCTGAAACAGCTCTTTTCAGAGATTTTTTTTTTTTTTTCCAAACGTCCCAGCTGACGTTTGAAAGCAGCTTTATGTGGCTCGGCGGTGCCCCGGCTCGTGTCTTGGCCCTGGGGCCTCCTGCGGCGCGCAGCCTCACGGCGCCCGGACCGCCTCGGCCCGC